GCTGGAAAACGCATGAATGACTACAAATTACCATCAATAAAAATCTGCAAAGTCTATGGTAATCATCCAAACGCACAACAATCACTGATGTGGCACAAAAGCTCTCAGTGAACCTGCCCTATGGGCGATTGTTTTGGAACTGAGCATGGTGGTAGGAGATGCTTTCGACAATTTTCACTTTGTGCACATTTATTCCTTGATTTAACCCACCACCACGATGACTGCAGCAACTTACTGACTCACCAAAAAGTGGGTGAATATCTTACTTGTTTCAGTGTTTCGTATTAGAAATGTTTTGGTCTTTATTTAGAAGTTGGGTATGTTTTTGTGACCAGAAAAATGGCATAGAAACTATATGGTAAAACGGGTTTTGTTATATGGTGCTTTTTTTTTTTGAGACGGAGTTTCACCCTTGTTACCCAGGCTGGAGTGCAATGGCACGATCTCGGCTCACCGCAACCTCCGCCTCCTGGGCTCAGGCAATTCTGCCTGAGCCCCCTGAGTAGCTGGGATTACAGGCACATGCCACCATGCCCAGCTAATTTTTTGCACTTTTAGTAGAGACGGGGTTTCACCATGTTGACCAGGATGGTCTCGATCTCTCGACCTCGTGATCCACCCGCCTCGGCCTCCCAAAGTGCTGGGATTACAGGCTTGAGCCACCGCGCCCGGCATATGGTGCTTTAAGAATACTGATGATGTTGACAACTTACGTAAAGACAGGAAAAGAGGAAAATAATCGAGTGGTTGCCTCTAAAAAATGGGACTACGAGGTAGGAAGGGCAGAGAAATGGTTTTTGCTTTGTTTTGGTTTTTTGAGATGGAGTCTCACTTTGCTACCTAGGCTGGAGTGCAATGGTGGGATCTTGGCTCACTGCAACCTCCAGCTCCCTTGTTCAAGAGATTCTCCTACCTCAGCCTCCCAAACAGCTGGGATTACAGGCGCATGCCACCACGCCCGGCTAATTTTTGTATTTTTAGTAGAGAGAGGGTTTCACCATGTTGGCCAGGTTGGTCTCAAACTTCTGACCTCAGGCAATCCACCTGCCTCGGCCTCCCAAAGTGCTGGATTACAGGTGTGACCTATCAACCTGGCCTGAGAAACTTTTCACTGCAGCTGCAGCCTTGGCTTCCTGGGTTTAAGTGATCCTCCCCCCTCAACCTCAAGGGCAGCTAGGATCACAGGTGCGCCACCATGCCCAGCTAATTTTGTGATTTTCTGTAGAGAAGAGGTCCTGCTGTGTTACCCAGGCGATCTCAAACTCCTAGGCTCAAAAGATCCTCCCACCTAGGCCTTTGGAAGTGCTAGGATTAAGGTGTGAGCCACGTGCCCCACCCCATTTAGGAAACCTTAAGGTATATTCCAACACCACTCAAGGAAGTAACCTCCAAATATAAACATTAGCTCTGTAGCATAAAGTTAAATTCTGGGGACAAGAGAAGAATCCAGTTTCTTAGCGTCAATACTAAATGTATTTAAGATAAATCTGAAATAAATCCACAAATCAGGGCTGAAAGAGAAGTACTTAAGTATCGGTGGAAAATCTTCATAGACTAGCAACTTAGAGTTGCAAAGATCTTTTAAATGACAAAAAACTGAAGCCCAAATTATTTGTTCAAGTTCACAGCGGCTGAACTGGGACTAGTCTATACCTCTTGGCTCCTAATGACTACACTTTCCAGGACACCTCCTGAGAGTTCCTGCTAATTACCTCCCTTAATCTCTCTAAAACCATAAACAATGAAGTACTTCCTGCTCTTCAAGGAAACGTCATCACTGGTTAATCTGCAACTAGCAAATCACAGTTTGAGGAGGTGTAACTTAACTTTATGCCACTAATTAATCTTAAATTTGTGATAAGCACAAGTTCCTTTATTAGTCAGTCCTTGTTTATACCTGTGAAATACAAAGACAGCCTTTTTGTTCCTGCATAGACTGGGAAATATCTTTTTTAAAAAACTATCAAGTTCTTCTTTATATGGTTATTTTGGGGGCACATATTATGATAGATTAAAATCAATGTAAATAAGCCATGTTTGAACAGAGCTGTACTCTGCAAGAATGAAGAAATCACTAATAGAATTTTCTTTCTTGTTCTAAGAAAACAGTTTAGACAAGAGGAGTTCCCAACAAATGGACTGTGACATTGGCGCAGAAGTGAACTGATTAAAAAAGGACCAGCTGAATGAGGAAGTGGGAGGAGGCAACATAGAGATTTCAAAAACAAACAGTTTTTTGCAGTGGCAGTATGGCAGCCAATGAAGTTAATATGAGGGGTGATTATTGCTCTTTGAAAATTGAATTAAAAAAAAGACATGAAATTGTATAAATTCTTTATACTGAGAACAACTCTATTTTAAATCTCCAAGTGCCTAATCTCACAGGAGAAACATTAAGGAAGTGGTAACTTATGTACCCACACTGGCTAAAGCTGTACTGTCAAACCAAACAAAAACTTTGAATTCCTGAAATTTCTCTAAAAAATTTCAACAAGGCGAACCTAAAAGTTCCTTCTCCAGGGGAAAGGGACCAACGTTTTTAATCTTAGTCACTAAGTGTGCTCTGAGTTCACTTGAAACCCAGGCGCACAAGCTCTGTGTCACTAGCAATGCCATATGAGTTGGTTTGTTTCCTGCCACAAAAGGCCAATTCTGCAAGAACAGGTGTAGTTTCTTGAATGCCTTAAGGTTAGGGTAGAAACAGGTTCTCCTATGCCCCATACAAAACCATAAATGTGCTGTACCCAAAACAAGTTTTTAATTAATGTAATGATATGAATTTAAGTCTTGATGTCAAAATTTCAGGGTCCTTGGAAAAGGGAGCTTCAAGTATCTAAGCAACATGTGATGTTCAACTGTTTAGTGAAATTAGAACCTAGGTCTGGAGCATGGAAGATAATAATTCTTTTAGGGTGGAATTTCTCAGCTTTTATAGATCTCTGTCCTACTGGTAAATTTGTGTGGGGGGGGCGGAGGCGGGAGGACAGGAGAAACATATGTTGTTTCCCACTTCCCCTGGAATTCTTTGCATTTATATCTGATCTGCATTTACACCTGCCTTAAAACAGAAACATACACAAGCCTTGCTTCTTTCCCACTTTACAAATATATCTGCCTCTACCTTCATTCTTCAGGCTAAATATTGACAGAAATAAGACAATTCAAAATGTTCAGACACACCTAGCGCACATTTATGATTCACTTCAGCCACCTAACAGATATGAGTTTACTAAGTGCCAGGTGAGTGGATTTTTAAAAAGAGAGTCTTGGCCGAGCGAGGTGGCTCACGCCTGTAATCCCAGCACTTTGGGAGGCCGAGGTGGGCAGGTCACGAGGTCAAGAAATCGAGACCATCCTGGCCAACATGGTGAAACCCCCATCTCTACTAAAAGTACAAAAATTAGCCGGGCGTGGTGACACACGCCTGTGGTCCCAGCTACTCGGGAGGCTGAGGCGGAAGAATCGCTTGAACCCAGGAGGAGGCGGAGGTGCAGTGAGCCGGGATTGCGCCATTGCACTCCAGTCTGGCGACAGAGCAAGACTCCGTCTCAAAAAAAAAAAAAAAAAAAAAAAAAAAGAGTCTTCCAGGGACCCACAGATCAACAGTAGGTGCCAAGAGTATGCTTTGACCTGCATAACTCATAATCCATTCAAACTTAAAGGACAGTTACAGGTTAGGGGAAAAAGACCACTGAATGAAGTATGACCTCATCACCGACCACCAGGATTGTAGCTAGTTTTCATGCTATCAATGAACCCTTTCCTTTTCCATCCGTCCGGCATTCAACTGCCAGATTCAGAATTCCACTTTCAAGGAGTCTCTGTCTAAGCAAGAAGCTTCAAAGCCTTCCCACTACTTATCACCTCTAGTTAAAACGCTTCTTCAGCTTGAATCTTCTATGGGTAGCTCCACCTGATCAACTTTTTTTCTTGTTGGTATGGCTCCCTTCTGCCAATCCCCTTCGGACGTGTAGAACCCAAATCTAATTCAACTACCTATTCTCTAATAACTCCTCAGGCAGCCCTCGTTCTAAGCAGTCTTAAAAAATAGTTTCTTCTATCGTCACAGATCCATTTGTTTTCAGGACATTGTTTCTGAACTCAGCATAAGCCTTCAAATGGCAGTTGTAGCCCAAGTCATTTTTAACGCTGCCATCCCAAACAGATGTTTATCTTTGCAGCCACCCCTGAGTGAAATCAGAGGGAGTACCGTGCAGTTTGGGTAAGGGAATCCCAACATCGCATCTCGTGAGAAAGGGTTTGGTGTGGTTGCAACTATGGAGAGGAAAAATAAAGGAAACAGAAAAAAGTGAAGGTCTGTGCTCCGTATACTTTCAGCCTTTTCTTTAGGAGTAGGGAAGGTAGGGAGGATCCCCAATAAATGAATTATTGAGGAAGGGAGAAAAAAACACATTGCTCCCTAAGTAGGAAACAGGGGCTGGGGGCCCTAGATAAGCGAAGGGATCGTCATCCTTAGAAGAGGGGGACAGGTTACAATGCGAAACCGAGTCTGGGAGTTGGAAGACGAAGGATGGAGAGGCTACAGAGATCCGGGCATCCGATCAAGAGGGTATCCGACATGTCCCGCAGGGGACTGGCGGATAACCGGAGATTGAGTGGCTCAGAGGGACGGCGTCGGTGCCTAAGACGGCTGTGAGAAGAGCGTTTATGGGACATCGCTACTAAAGGGGCGCGGGGGCGGGGAGGAGCTTTTGGGTGGGATCGTGCACCAAAAGGAGAAGCGATTCTCAGACCAGCGCTCTTCTTGAATGGAAATCCCGGGGAAGCGGAAAACGTTAGAGCGTTGAGGCACCAGAATGTCCCAGCCCCAGCCCGGCTTCCCTACGGACTCACCGCGTCTTCTCCAAACGCCACCGCTCCAGCTGCAGCTACCGGCCGGCGCAGCCGCACTGAGCGGCCACCGCCCCACGTGACTCGCCCAGGCTCCACCCCGCACGTGACCCGCAGAGCCCACCCACTCCCGCCTCCCTCTTGTCTCCCTTCTCCGCGTGGTCTTAGCTGGCCCCGCCCTTCCTGGCAAAATGGCGGCTCCCAGGTGGAGCGTGTTGGGCTTCTGGATCCGGAGAAACAGCCAGGGTTTAGGGAGTCTCTTCGTTCTCGTCTCAAAGTCATTTTGTTCCGCTGCCGCTGCCTCTGAGCCCTTAAATGCCCAGAGATTAGCAGAGAAGCTCAGAGCCCAGAAACAGGAACAAGTCACAAAGAAGGAGCCGGTGAGTGCGAAGGGACGAAAATTCCCAAAAGGCAGTGCGCTCATTGGTTTCCCAGAAGGGGAGTGGGTAGAAGGGTCCTCTGACTGCGTGTAAGTCAATACCCAGTACGCAAGGTGGGAGGGTGGGGAGAAGGCGGAGGGGAGGGGTCAGTAAGGGTACGGTGTTTTCTCTTGAGCTGGGTCTTTGGTTTACTGTCAGGCTCAGTCCTAACCACTGCGTGGGTAGGCAGATTAGTAGACGCGTACCCCTGCTCTCAGATTGCACGAGGAAGGCGCGGGTCTGATGCAAAGATAGTCATTCCCTACTTAGATTCTCACCCAGATCTTTATGGAAAGTCTTCTCCCCGCTTCCGCACCAGGCATTCCCCACCCCTCCTTCTTTCTCCCTAGGTGTCCACAAACCCTGTTCAGCGGAGAGTGCAAGAATTAGTGCGGTACACACGGCAGCTACAGCGAGTCCACCCCAACGTGCTTGCTAAGGCACTAACCCGAGGAATTCTCCACCAGGACAAGAACCTTGTGGTCATCAATAAGCCCTACGGTCTCCCTGTGCATGGTAAGCATCACTTGTGAAAGGGGAAGCTGCTTTCTGCTACAATCGAGGAAAACTGACACGTTACTTGTGGTGCACTCTGAAGCCTTGCATTCAAATTAATTAAACCTTTGTAGACACCCAGGACACAGAAATAAATAAATAAGAGTCCTCACTTTCCAGACATCTGACAATAAACAGCAATTCGTGGAATACGCTGTGTGCAGACCACAGAGACCACTGTGGAGATATGCAAAGGCTGTGTGGTTCTAGATTAAAGGTTATCTTCCATCAAAACTGGGAATGAGAAAATGATACATAAGAAATAAGCGGGGAGGGGTGTGTGTGCACGTTTGTTTTGGAGCATGTGTAACATACAACTCTAGAGTGACTGGTAATTAGTGGATACTCAAATGTTTCAACAAATGTCGCGTGTAGTTTTCAGGAAACAGCTGAGGTGAGTCAGGAAAGATTGATTTAAAAAATGCATTTGTGAAAGAATTTTGCAGAGGGAGAAGGCCCATTTTAGTTAGAAGAAGGTAATGCTTTTTGGGGAGATATGGAGATAGTCGTTCATAAAGACAAGGAATTGAATCAGACATTGTCCATTGTTTCTATAATTTCTTCTCCCTTGATTTTTACAACAGCCTTTTGCCTTCCCATTCCCCAATGAAGTTGTTTTCCAGATATCTACATTTTATAACAAGAAAGCAAAGTTGGAAAGAAAAGTAATATGTCCAAGGTCAAATAGCTAGTAAGAAGAGTAGAGTAGAACCCCAGGAATGTCTAACCCCAAAGCCCATCATCTTAATCACTCTTATTTAATGCTTTTCAAGGGCCTTGTGGTCTTGCAAAGGATGTCTGAGAAGAAAGCCACATGCTCTAGAATGGTGCTTTTCAAACTCTAATATGCTTATGAATCACTTGGGCAGCTTGTAAAATGTAGATTCTGATTGAGTAGTCTAGGTTGGGAGCTGGATATTCATTTCTTTTTTTTTTTTTTTTTTTTTTTTTTTGAGACGGAGTTTCACTCTTGTTACCCAGGCTGGAGTGCAATGGCGCGATCTCGGCTCACCGCAACCTCTGCCTCCTGGGTTCTGGCAATTCTCCTGCCTCAGCCTCCTGGGTAGCTGGGATTACAGGCACGCGCCACCATGCCCAGCTAATTTTTTGTATTTTTTTAGTAAAGACTGGGCTTCACCATGTTGACTAGGATGGTCTTGATCTCTTGACCTTGTGATCCACCCGTCTCGGCCTCCCAAAGTGTTGGGATTACAGGCTTGAGCCACCTCACCTGGCCTGGATATTCATTTCTAATTAGCTCCCTGGACATGCCATTGTTGCTAGTCTCTGGACCACACTTCAGTAGTAAAGCTCTAGAAAATATTAACAGTTTATCCATTAAGGGCTTTTCTCCCCAGTAATACTTTGGTGAGATCTTTTTCAGGCCACTCAAACCTCTGGCTTTCTCCTTCTTAGGTGGCCCTGGGGTCCAGCTCTGCATCAGTGATGTACTACCTATCCTGGCAAAGATGCTTCATGGCCACAAGGCAGAGCCCTTGCATCTGTGCCACCGGCTGGACAAGGAAACCACAGGTGTAATGGTGTTGGCTTGGGACAAGGACATGGCACATCAAGTCCAAGAGTTGTTTAAAACCCGTCAGGTGGTGAAGAAGTACTGGTATGAGGCCTGCTGATGGCAGTAGAGGTGGTATAAGTGGAGGCATTTCTTTCATCTATTTATTCATTAAAGAGCAGAAACTCCCATTAATAGAAGGCACTGCTCTAGGACCTGTGAGAGTATAAAAAGTATGTGAAACAGCTTTGATGCTTAGAATATTAAGTCTGATAGAACAATGATTCTTAAATCTGGTGTACATCAAAACTATCAAAAGTTAGTCATACAAGCATGGGTTGGCCATGGCGGCTCATGCCTATAATCACAGCATTTTGAGAGGAAGAGGTAGGAGTATTGCTTTAGGCCAGGAGTTGGAGATCAGCCTGGGCATCATAGTGACACCTTTTCTCTATAAAAAGTAAAAATTTAGCCCAGTATAGTAGCACATACCTGTAGTCCCAGCCACTTGGGAGGCTGAGGGGGGAGTATCGTTTGAACCCAGGAGTTTGAGGTTACGATGAGCTATGATCGCACCACTGCACTCCAGCCTGGATGACAGAGTAAGACAATGTTTCTAAAGAAAAAGTAAACAATTAATTATACAAGTAACATATGATTTTATTCCTGTGTTAGAAATAATCAGACAACAAAGATAATGTGAAAAACTCCTGGAGAATCCACCCACTCTACCATTCTAGTCTTTTTCCTTGAGGTAACAACCCATGTAATCAGTTTCGTTTTTATTCCTCTGGTTCTTACTCAATGCATTTACATGCATGTCTAGTGTATACTGTGTGTGTGTGTGTGTGTGTGTGTGTGTGTGTGTGTGTAGATATGTACATACATATTTCTATATATATCCCATTGTAGAATTTACATTATGCTTTTTCCCTTGCTCAACTCTGTGTCTTGGGGATCTTTCCATGTTAACACATAGAGGTTTACCTCAGTGTTTTTAATAGAAAAAAGATACATGAGCAAAAAGGAAATCCTCTACTTCCCATCTGTGCAGTTCCCTTCCCCAGGGGCAATTGCTGTGACTGGCAATTGTGTCCAGAGTTACCGAGCGTATGCAAGCATATTACTGTATGGCAGTGTATTTGACACACTGTTTTGTACCCTGCAGTTTTCACTCAGGTCATATATCTTAAGAGCATTTCGTGTTGTACATTTAGAGCTGTCTCCTTTTTAATTGCTCTGTGAAATAAGACTGTATGGATGGATATTTAGGTAATTTCTCATTTTTCTGAGCCTATTGCAAAGAATATGTGAGTGTATTTTTAGGGTAAATTTCTAAAAATTGAATTGCTGGACTGAATGGTGTGTGTATTTAAAATTTTAATAGTGCTCACATTGTTCTCCACAAAGGTTTTATTGGTTTACATTCCCACCAGCAGTGGTGAGTACCTACCTGCCCTTATCAGCCAAAGCATTTTTAAAGGGTTTGCCACTGTGATAACTTAAAAAAAAAAAAAAAAAAGTCTATTTCCTTGTATAATAGTGATGTTGGTTATCAATTTACATGTTTATTGGCTATTTGAGTTTCCCTTTCTGGGAATAGACTATTTCTTTTGCCTATTTTTCTATTTGGTTGTTTATTATTTTTTTTCTTTTTTCTGTTTTTTTTAAGACTGTGCTCAGCTTTTTTTTTTTTGAGATGGAGTTTCACTCTGTCACCCAGGCTGGTGGGCAGTGGCACAATTTCAACTTACTGCAACCTCCTCCTGGGTTCAAACGATTCTCATGTTTCAGCCTCCTGGTTAGTTGGGATTACAGGTGCATGCCACCATGCCAAGCCAATTTTTTGTATCTTTATTGGCCAGGCTGGTTTTGAACCCCTGACCTAAAGTGATCTGCCCACCTCAGCCTCCCAAAGTGCTAGGATTATAGGCGTGAGTCACCATGCCTAGCCTGGGTTATTATTTTCTGTTTGATTTGTAAGTATTCATTTATATTTTGAATGTTAGTCCTTTTTTATATTACAGATTTTGCAGATACTTTGTGATCTGAGGAGCCCTTTAAAAGTCTCTATGCTTGAAACCTACCTATAGAGGTTCTCATTCATAAGTCTGGTGGTTGTGGGCATTGGCACCTGTCTTTTAAAATTTGATGTACAATCAGATTTAAGAACAACTATAATAAGAGGTTGTGGAGAATGGAGAAATTTAGGACAGCAGCTAAGACCTCAAAAAGATTTGTGTTCAGCCGGGCGCGGTGGCTCAAGCCTGTAATCCCAGCACTTTGGGAGGCCGAGGCGGGTGGATCGCGAGGTCAAGAGATCGAGACCATCCTGGTCAACATGGTGAAACCCCGTCTCTACTAAAAATAAAAAAAATTAGCCGGGCATGGTAGCGCGTGCCTGTAATCCCAGCTACTCAGGAGGCTGAGACAGGAGAATTGCCTGAACCCAGGAGGCGGAGGTTGCGGTGAGCCGAGATCGTGCCATTGCACTCCAGCCTGGGTAACAAGAGCGAAACTCCGTCTCAAAAAAAAAAAGATTTGTGTTCAATCTCAGCAGTGTCATTTACCAACTATGGGGTCTTGGGCAAGTTATTAAAGTTCCGTAAGCTTTGTTTTCTTCATATGAAAAATGGAAATAGTAGAATTTACGACATAGTTAAATGAGATGGATTCACGTGAAATATTTAACACAGTATATAGTAGATAGTAAAAGTTGAAAAAATTAAAAAAATATAGTATTATATCTAGTCAGGCAATCAAAATATTAAGACTACAAAATACATGCTATGTTATTTGTGAAAATTGTACATCAAGGTTCAAAATTGATAACCATTCTCAGTATCAGGTTCACGGAGGAATTGAAGTCGATCAATTGGGTCTTGCTGAATGAATAGAATTTGATAGGAATGGTGGGAATATGTTCTACATCATGGGGTGGCGTGCACAAAGGATGAGGGCTTGCATGCAGTTTGGAGGGGATGATTGTGGGAGATGACACTGGAAAGGTGGGCTGCAGCTCAGGTAATGACAGTCGTAAATACTGGATACAGGAAGTAGAAGTTGGAATTAGTGGAATTAGAACATAGCAGGCAACTGATTAACATTTGCTAACTTAACTTCATAGCAGACTTAATTATTATAGTTATTTGTTTGAATTTTTTTTTTTTTTTTTTTTTTGATTTGGGTTCTTTTTATATGGCCCAGGCTGGAGTGCAGTGGCCATTCACAAGTGTGATCATAGCCCACTGCAGCCTCAAATTTCTGGCCTCAAGCAGTCCTCCTGCCTTAGTCTCCCAAATAGCTGGGCCTGCATGCTCCTGCCACCAAGCCTGGCTTATTTGTTTGAATCTTCTTACTAAATTCTGAGTTCCTTGAGAGTGGGGATTTTTGTCCTGTTTCTCTATGCAGAGCTAATGCCTACCCAAATCAGTGCTTCACCCATTCAGTGAATATTTACTGATTGAACATTCTTGAATTGTAGTGTCATATCATTAGGAAGGGCAGTCTTATCACAGAGGATCTACGAAATCTGTAAAAAATGTTAAAATGTACCATATAGTAGCTCAGACTTCCACCAACCTGAAGTGGAGTGTCTACATTGTGAAATGGTGTGTCTCAATGGGATTTTGACCCCTTGGTTAGTGATTATACAACAGGCCACCAGGTACCCAGATGGACTCTTCCATCATTGACCTGAAAGAGGCATAAATTCACAGACAGATTAAACCGTCTTCTACCTGTCTGTGAGATCATGAGAGGGAGAACACCAACAGAAGCGATTTGGAATGAGTCACTGAGTTGTGGTTGTGGTTCCTATGACTTTCTTGCCCCAGCCCCCAGGGCTGGAGTGCAGTGGCATGATCTTGACTCACTGTAACCTCCACCTGCTGGGTTAAAGCACTTCTTGTGCCTCAGCCTTCTAAGTAACTGGGATTACAGGCGTAAACCGTCATACCTGGCTAATTTTTTTTTTTTTTTGTATTTTTAGTAGAGCTGGGGTTTCACTATGTTGGCCAGGCTGGTCTCTAACTCCTGACCTCAAGTGATCCACCTGCCTTGGCCTTCCAAAGTACTGGGATTACAGATGAGAGCCACTGTACCCGGCCCCTATAACTTCTTTGGGTACAGTTTCCTCTTGTTTTACCTATGTGACAAATAAGCCAGGAACAGTTCTCTGAATTTTTTATTAGGTTCATTTATCAATTATTCATTTGTTCATTTAACAGACTATCAGAATCTACAATCTCTTATCATTTGAAAAAGAAAAACAATATAAAACTGTATTATCAGAATTTTAACTGTACATATCCATTTTTAAGGCTAGAAAGACCACGTTATTATAGTTTTTTTTAACCCCAAATATTCCATAGTTAGCGTATGTGACTTTAGTAGTAAAAAAGATAAGCTTGTAAAATGTATCAGCTCTCAGGCTAAGCATTATGCCAAGACAATCTTGCAGGCCCCTTCGACCATAAGAAATCACACATTAGTGCAGAAGGTCCAGCGTGAAATCTTCCAAGCAGCCAAATCTAGGAACTCCTTTCTGGCTTGGTTGGCTAAAGCAGTGATCTGTGTCACCACCAGGGCCATCACTGTGAGCGTCCCCATGCCCTCAGCAGGAGTCGTGGACATCCCCATCATGGAGAAGGAGGCCCAAGGCCAGCAGCAACACCACAAGGTAGGTGAGCAGCCTCTCTGAGGCATGGGGGTTGCTGCTTTTCCTTGGGAATCATATCTCGATTTCTTTGGCTTCAGATGACATTGTCTCCGAGCTACCGCATGGAAGATGGGAAAATGGTGAAAATGCGGAGCAGCCGGAAAGCACAAGTTGCTGTAACTCAGTACCGGGTGCTCAGCAGCACTCTCTCCTCCGCCCTCATGGAGCTCCATCCCATCACTGGTGAGGGTGTCACTTTTCCACAGTGCGATCACAAAACCCTGTGCCACCAGGTTTTGTCCAGGGCCTTGTTCTGAGCAGCTAGTATTGTGGCTGACTTGTGTGAGAATGTGCTTCTCGTGCTAATCTGAGGCTGGGGGCTCCCATAGGGATGGTTGTGGCTCACAAAAGAATACAAACAGTTTGAATACCTCTATTTAAAACTGTGCAGAATGGTTCCTCAAAATGATTCTGCATAGAATTACCAGAAGATCCAGCAGCTCCACTTCTGGGTATATACCCAAAATAATCACATATTTGCACACATATTCATAGCAGCATTATTCATAGTACCAAAAGGTGAAGATAATCCCAGTGACCATTGGTGGGTGAGTGGAGAAACAAAATGTTGCATGTACATACAGTAGAATATTATTTTCAGCTTTAAAAGAACTAAAGAAAGGGAAATTCTGACATATGCTACAACATAGAAGCACCTTGAAAACATTATGCTAAGTGAAATAAGCCAGGCACAAAAGGGCAAATGCTATGTGACTCCACTCATGTGAGGTACCTAGAAGAGTCAGGTGTATAGAGACAGAAAGTAAATGGTGGTTGCCAGAATCTTAGGGTAGGATAAAGGAGGGGAGATGAATGGGGAATTGTTTAATGAGTCCAAGAGTTTCAGTTTGGGAAGATGAGAAAGTTCTAGAGACGGATGGTGGTGAATACACCTAACGCCACTGACTTAGCATTTACTATAATGCCAGTGGTTAAAACAGGAAATTTTATGTATATTTTACTACAATTCAAATAATATGAAAATCGATACTACTTGTCATTATGTAGTAAAATTACTAAAAAGTTGGGGTAATGGTAGACACCAGGTTCATGATAATGGTTATCTATGGTGGAAAGAGGGAATTGTGGTAGGGAGGGGTACTTAGAGTATTTACAATGTTTACTTCCTAAGCTGTCTGGTGCTGCGTAGCTTATAGTTTGTTATATTATTCTTTATACTTTATTATAGTTGGGGCTTGGCCAATTTACTGCACTTTGATTTAATATGATTTGAAGCAGTTGCCAATACTGGTATTGTTTCTGTAGCTCCTCACAAGTTTTCTTTCCCTCTGTCTTTTAAGGAATAAAACATCAGCTTCGAGTTCACTTGTCATTTGGATTAGATTGTCCAGTCCTTGGGGATCACAAGTACTCAGACTGGAACAAGTTGGCCCCTCAGGTAATACTAATTTGGCACAATGTGCAACAGATACGGGAGAGAACTTAGGCCTTCCTTTCTTTAAAACTCTGAAATGAGTTACAACAAAAGCTATTGATTGTCTTCAGACATGGTAGCAAGCTCTTTATCTCGCTTTTAGAGAAATTTAGAAGCATTCAGTGACTGTCTGCTTGGAGCTGCAGGTTTGTAAGTGAAAACCTTACTGTTTCATTTGTTTAGTCTGATTTTGTTGGGAGGCTGTGGGCAAGGGGAGGAGTGTTTCCAAAGGCTGAGAGCAGCCTTTCCTGCCACTGCTAAAGAACCATGGGGGGCTGGTGTGGTGGCTCACACCTGAAATCCCAGCACTTCCGGAGGCCAAGGTGGGTGGATTACCTGAGGTCGGCCTTTCAAGACCAGCCTGACCAACATGGAGAAATCCTGTCTCTACTAAAAATAGAAAAAATTAGCCAGGCATGGTGGCGACGCATGCCTGTAATCCCAGCTACTGGGGAGGCTGAGGCAGGAGAATCACTTGAACCTGGGAGGCAGAGGTTGCTGTGCGCCAAGATCCTGGCATTACACTCCAGCCTGGGCAACCAGAGCAAAACTTTGTCTCGAAAAAGAACCATGGGGAAAGTCTTTTCATTCTTAAGCCACAGCCCGTTCTCCTGGTAGGCCAAAAAGCACTGGCTAAAACGAACGTCTTTGGTGTGGTCATTTTTCCCTTACCTAGGTTCTGAGCCTTTGTTAGACCTGCCCCTGAAGCAGTCTCTCCATTACTGTGCCTTCCAGGGGCTTAGTGTTGGCTCTCTGTAAGTGGAAGTCTCCTGACTTGCGTGTTTATCAAGAGTGGCCTGTTGGCCTTGCTCTCAAGGGTCTGTCCTTTCTTTGTGTAGAAGCTGTCTGTGGGCACCCTGAAGAAGCTGGGGCTGAAACAGTCGAAGGCCCGCTACATCCCCCTTCACCTGCATGCCCGGCAGCTGATCCTGCCTGCCCTGGGGTCCAGGAAGGAGGAACTTAACTTGGTCTGCAAACTTCCTCACTTCTTTGCACGTTCCCTGCGCCGCCTGGGTTTAGAGATGCCAAATCAGGATCAAAGTAACAACAGTGAAACACAGTGAAGACCGTGGGAGCACCCCGGCATCTGGGAGCACAGTGAAGACCGTGGGAGCTCCCTGGCATCTGGGAGCACATATTGGCCCCTGATCTGTTCTTTGTTTATGGGGCTCTGCTAACTTCTCACTTGGAACAGACTCCAGAAGAGCCAGCTGGGATAAGGTGGAGTATCTCAGCTGCTACAGGGCTTTTAATGGAGAACAAAACCTATTCACTGATAGTTTAGCTACACTGTGGAAAGTCTCCCTGCCATAGGCTCTCATTGCCAATATGGAACAGAGCCCAGGGCCAGGCAAATTGGGGCAGTGACTGGAAAGGAAAACTAAGTGACAGAATCTAGGGCCAGGAACTGTTTTATCCAGCAGTGAAGCTCTGGAGCTCTCCGGAAGGTTCCCATGGTTGGAAAGAACATAATGGTTAACAAGTATCATGGCATCCAGGAATTGTCCAGCTATAGCGTGGGTGCCCTACTGCACTCCGATTATGGAACCTGTGAAGGGGTGTTGAGTGTGAGGTTGAGGTGGGACATTTGCTAAGCAAGGACGGCAGGTATGAATGGCAGGCAGGTAACATGCATACATGAGGCTGGCTGGGTGGAAGGTAGTCACGGGGAGCAGCACACTGTCTTAACAGTTGTTAGTTCCAGCTTGTTCTTGCCATGTAGGAATGGATTTTCTCTTTTTTTTTTTTTTTTTTTTTTTTTGAGACGGAGTTTCGCTCTTGTTACCCAGGCTGGAGTGCAATGGTGCGATCTCGGCTCAGCGCAACCTCCGCCTCCTGGGTTCAGGCAATTCTCCTGCCTCAGCCTCCTGAGTAACTGGGATTACAGGCACATGCCACCATGCCCAGCTAATTTTTGTATTTTTAGTAGAGACGGGGTTTCACCATGTTGACCAGGATGGTCTCGATCTCTTGACCTCGTGATCCACCCGCCTCGGCCTCCCAAAGTGCTGGCATTACAGGCTTGAGCCACCGCGCCCGGCCAGGAATGGATTTTCTCATTTATTTCTTCGGAGAAGCTACCAACGTGGATACTTAGGTGAAACCTCCCAGTGTATTCCCAACTAAATAGAATTTTTAAAAATGCTTAGGCAGCCAAGCACATAATACTTGCAGGCTGAATTTGGTCTACAGGCTAGCAGTTTACAATCTGTGTTTAATGAATGGTAGAGAAGTTTGAGGAAAGGTGCCGTCTTCGAAAATTCCAGATCAGTGGTTGGCATTTTAGCTGCCTTTCTAGACTTGGAGATGGCTTTGGTTGGTCCATAAATGTGTAGTTACGAGAGTGCTGCCATTAAAAAAATAAAAATCTCTGTCGTGGAAGCATACCTCCTATTCTTGGGTCTCAGAAAGAAGAGGGCTGTACCAAACACTGTTAGGGATAGATGGAAATGACCTGGGCCTCCCTGCTCAGTTGGTCCATCCAGCTCCCACCTTGTTTCTTGCGGACAAATACACCTCACACTACTTTAGGCTGACAAAGAAAGGTGGAGTGATGGCCCAGTTAGGGGGTACACCCCAGCACAGCCTTTATGTTCCCTCTGTGTAAACGATGCCACTTTCTAACCCGTCCCTGTCTCTGTGGTACCTGTTGTTGTGCATAATAAATTTAACTTTGAAAGCACAGATGAGACGACTATATTTGTTTATATAAGAACTAAATATTTTTGCTGCTGTTTCTATTTCTAGCAAACCATGCTAGTCAAAAAAAAGGAACAAGAATGTGACACTTAGGAAATATTGATAATTGACTTTATTCAGGGAAACAGATGAACAGGAATACCCACAAGAATGAAGAAAAGGCTAGACGCAGTGGCTCATGCCTGTAATCCCAGCACTTTGAGAGACCGAGGTGGGCAGATCACTTGAACCCAGGAGTCGAGACCAGCTTAGGCAACATGGTGAAGCCCTGTTGCTACAGAAAATACAAGAATTACCCAGGCGGGGTGGCGCACCTGTTGTCCCAGCTACTCGTGAGGCTGAGACAGGAGAATCACTTGAGCCCAGGAGGTTGAGGCTGCAGTAAGCCATGCAGGTGCCTCTGCGCTTCAGCCTGGGTGTCAGAGAGAGACTCTGTTTTAATGCAAAATAAATATAAAAAAAAAAGTGTGACAGATTCGTCTGGAGTCAGATCCAGTGATGGGGGTCCCAGGGTGATCTGGTCTGGGAGCAGATGCTGCTCCAGACATGCAGGGAGGACAGGGTGCGGGAATGTGCTCACCGGGTCGGGCCATTAAGCTCAGGACAGTGGCCACAGAGGTAGGACCCAACCTCTCTGAAATGGGAGTCGGGTAGGGGTGGGGGACCCACTAGTTTCCAAACCTTGCCAAATTTAAATCCTCTGGGGGTTAGGGCTTCAATATATGAATTTTGAGCAGGGAAGGGAAGTGGACTCAAATCAGTCCCTAACACTAATTATTTTGATATTTTCCCCATAACTATTTAGCAGTGTAAAAACCATTCTTAACTCACAGGTCATAAAAACACACATGGCAGGCCACGTTCAGCCCACTAGCTATAGTGTGGCTGTTTCTATTTCTAGTAAACAATGCTTCTCAAGATAAAGGGACAGGAATGTGACAGGAAGTGTTGATCTTTGACTTTAATTCAGGGAGACAGATGAAGAGAAACCTTGGTCTTGTGGGTGTTTGATGAAATCCCAGGTACCCAGGAAGCCACCACAAAGGGACCAGGTAGTAGCCTGCATGCCACAGTGTGGATGCAGCCCAGGGCTGCAGATATCGGCTGGGAAGCCCAGGGAGGCCTGCTGAAATCCTGGAGCATCCCACACTGCTGCGCGGTTGGGCAGGCAAGGGTGAGAGCTGGTGAAGTTCTTCCTTTCCTGTGGTTTCTTAGGCGTAAAGAAAGGATTAACGTTTCTTTGATCCTTAGTGGGATCTGGGCTGCCCGAGCAATGGGTCTTGCTAGGTAGAGTGGCTATCTTTAATCACTGACAAGAATGTAAGAGGAATATTACCCCACATTAGTGTGGCCTGGGAAACGGGTTACACAGCAAAGGAGCTTGGAACATGCCTAAAGTGAGCTTCATCTATTTTGAAATACTGACGAGAGCCAGCTGAAAGATTTGATTTAGTATTAAGTCATACACAGTAATTGGTATAAGAAAATAGGCTTTTAAAATGTCTATTTTTATCAAAGTTCTACATGCACGTGATTTAAAAAATCAAGAACTATTCTGTTCAAATGACTCTGGTTAAAAAAAGAATAAGAAAAAATCAAAATGAAAAATCAAGAACTATAGGCTTGCCAAGAAAAGTAGCAGCTCCTTGGTCACTTGGGATTGTTTGCTGTGAGCTCTGGGAGGTGCTTGTGCTCAGCAGAAGGGGGAGGCCGGGTCTCCAGCGCCCCTTCTGGTGGCAGCCCTGGCTCTTCTGCTCCAGTAGGTAGCTCTGGGGTAGTCGATTTTTTTCTGTGCTAAGCATGCCCAGCCTAAGCCCACAGAGCACTTTCTCAATCCTCATATCACCTGTCTTTGTATAATAGCCACATCAGCGACTCTGAGCTCCTCACTTACTTTGATACCATGAACTCTTCCTGCATCTCCTTATCTGACCTCCTTCCAGGCTCCTTCAAGGGCTCCAGCATGGTGCCCCCAGAGCTCCATCTTGGCATCCTGACCCTCTCCCAGAGGGAGAGATGGGCCAGCTTGAGAAGCCTCTGCCTGTGTGCTGGTGACTCACAAGTCTGTCTCTGACCTTGATCTCCCCCTTGAGCTCGCCATCTTCATGTCCATCTGCCTGAGGTCATAGCCCCTTGGGAGCTCCCTCTCCAGGCCTGCTGCTCCTGTCCTCTTACCTGCCTTAGTTTAGATGGCATCACCAGAGACCTGGGAATCACTTTTGACTCCTTCCTTGCACCAGTCCCCAAATCCAATTAGCCACTAATTCTTTGCCAGTTCCCTCTAAAACCCTTCTCTTACAATGCACTTCCCTCTTTAATTCTAATCTCTCTTGAGAACCAATTTCACCATCCCCACCCTTCAGCTACGATGGGATAGGTGGAAGGGCATAGTGGGTTAGAAATAGGATCATAGGCAATCTGCTAGTTCCCACCAGAAACCAAACTCAGAAGGGAGTGTTGAGACTGTCCCCAGGTTCCTGGGGACAGGGCAGTGTGTGGGGGGATATCTATTTTAACAGGGACAGGCAAATAGAGCAGCCTCCTTCCATATTTTCTAAGTCTACTGTCCTTGGCTCTCTGGACTGCTTTTAGCCAGGGTGCCTGGTAGGATATACAGAAACATGGCCTTCTGCTTGTGCTTGTGCAAAGCATGCTATGTGGATGCAGACAGCTTTCTCCCAGTGGGGTGCAAAGTCTGCTGGCCCAGGGCAATGTAATTCGAACACCAGCTGCCCAGTGTTAGGCCAAATGTCACAAGTTAATGGCACATTCCACAGGACATGCCTCACTTCAGACACCAGCTGCAAGCTCTGGGGTTTCCCAGCCACCTGTACTTCTAACCAACTAGCTACAAATTCAAGAGTGCTCATAAACCCCTCAGGTTTGATCATTTGCTAGAATGACTCCCAAGACTCAGCAAAGCACAATCCTTCCTATTACAGTTTTGCTGTAGCAATAAAATGACACAAATCAGGACTGGCTAAAAGAAGACATGCATGGGCAAGGTCTGGGAGAATCTCCAACATGAAGCTGCCACACATCCTCTGTGCACAGAGCCTGATCATGTCACCATCCCAACACGTGGATATGCATCACCAACCAGGAATGCCACTTAAGCCTTCATGTCCAGAGTTTTTATTGGGGTTTCATTATTGGCTACATTGTTGAACTCAGTCCTACCGGGCTCAAAGTACCAACCCTCTAATCACACGGTCGGTCTTTTTGCATCACCAGCCCCTGTCCTGAATCTAAGGCCCAGTCGTGAGTCCTCATATTAGCATAAACTATTAGGGCCCATCATAAATAACAGATGTTCCCATTGCTTGGGAAATTCTAAGGATTTAGGTTCTCTCTCCCAGGAACCAAGGATGAAAGCAGACAAATTAGTACACAACACTTTTTCCTCCCCTTCAGCTTGCTGTGTCCCCAGTGAGCAGCCAGCCTCGGTGGCTGTCTGCATAGATGCCCCTATCAGCTGCAGCCTTAAAATCCTTTCAGACAAGAGGCCTTGAGAGATTTCTGTTGACGTCCCTCCTAGCACCTGCTGTGGCAGGCACACTGTCATCTGCTGCCATCCTTGCAGTGGAAAACGGATTTTAATCAGGGGTGATTATACAGATGGGTGAAGTTCTTCTTTCCCAGGTATTTTCACATGCTGTGAGGACACAGCCATGGTGACCTGTACTCAGATCCACCCTAAAGGCTCATCTGGCCCCTGCCTTCTCACTGCCATCAGTCTGTCCACACACGTGCCCCTACCTCCTAGATGTGTCTGTACACCCCAAACACCTGCATTGTTCAAATCACTTCTTGAGGACTAACCACCCTCCACACCTATTCGGCTGTTCGCCTACTCCTAGCTCACTCCGTGGGACCTTCAGCAAAGGGCTGCAGAATGCTTTGTTGGGAAACAGGAGTGTGGAGACCAATGAGGAGGCCAACCTGGTCCTCTATGCAACATGTGACAGCGGCTTGCACGAAGGTGTCACTCCCCATTCCTACTCACTGCCAGCTGTAGACAACTGCTGATCTATTTTCTGGAAATAGAA